ACCATTCATTCAGTAAAACGATCCCACATCACGCTCCAGAACCACAATGAGATGAGAAAATCACATCCAGCTCATCTCACGGGTGGATTTTATCCAGTAGATTCAATAGAGGGTTCCTTTATGTGAATAGAGTTGGAAAGATTAAGGGTCTATATGTTTGGTAACGTGTGTGTTTGTGTGTATGAGAAGGCGCCCTCAAGTGTTGCGTTTGACACTTCAAGACAACCCTATTAAAAACAGCTGAAGAATTCATTTGATGTACTGGGCAACTGACTCAGGCTGCTAAACAGTAGCACTTGAATCCTGTTTGTATAGTGAATTTTGTGAGCTGTATTATTTAAGAGCTTGCAAACTTTAAATAACATTCACTGTGCAGAATGACATGTGTGCAGAGTTTGACACTAGAAGGATGTTTTCACATTCATCTGCTGAAAGTGGAAAGTCTCTGTGCTCACTGAAAATCTGCTTTTAAGGGGCGGGGCCTACGAGCATGAAGTGTGACATCACAAATACTCTGGAAGTCATCATGGTCCAGTATGCAACTTGTACTGTGAGATGTAGAAACTTGAAGCCACCAGTTCACATCCACTAAGCAAGATTCTGTTACTGTGCTGCCTATTTCTACGGATGAGTCAAAACTGCACAGCCAATGAGAGCAGCTCATCTCGCACTACATCACCTCCACTGGCTCCAATACACTGTCATGGCCATTACCATAATGCCAAACTCAAGGCTTCAAAACGGTACTCCACAAACCAATGAGTTATGTCATGATAGGTTCACACTTGGTTTCAATTCATCCGTTGCAGGAAACAATGCCTAGTTTGAAAGTTTGACCTGAGTTTCGTTTGTTGAGCTTCTAAATATAAGAATACTTTTGTTACCTTAGAATGAGCCGCTTTTATATACAGAGGGAGGGGGTCCTCTTCTACCATTATGTTGAGCTGCCATATTTCTACAGTAGTCCAGAATAGACAAACCAAACACTGGCTGTACATGACCAACTTCCATTTTTTTCTCCTAATTGAAGTTTTTCCAACAAAGACTATTGGCGTTGTTCAATACTATTAAGTATAATAAGTAAAACAGTGAGTGTCTTTATTTGGGTGAACCAACACTTTTAAACAACATACAAATCTATTGACACCCATTATAATTCAGGTGAGTTGGTAAGCGCAATGTAACAAATGTTAAATATAATAGAAACTGATGTACTGTTTAATGCGGTATGACAATGAGAAAATGCATGTGCTTGTGCAGTCAGACTGAAGTTTTTAATCTACTGAAGAGATCTGGTTTTACCATCTGTGAGTAAGAGAGTGTGTGCAGCCTTTCTTTTGCCATTGATTATATCAAGTTAACTGCCCAAGGTCCTGCTGGCACTCTGAATGCTACTTGGCGAGGAGAAGAAGAGGTTTCTCTCTCCTACGCACAATAAATAGTCCTCTCTCTCTTTCTTCTCATCGGATGCATTCACTTTGATGGTTTTCCAAAGTGTGAGTCACCGCAGACAGAAAAGTGGTTCAGTGACATTCTTCTGCGTCATTTTGTGTACTTGAGCTTGAACTCAAACAAGCACATTTCCAAACAAACAGCAGACGTGGTCAGCAAAGCCTCATTCAAGGTTGCACTTTCACACTAACAGAAAAGCCACCGGCACACATATACGATCACAAACACTACTTATTCCATTCATTTGGTAGGTCTTGGGCTCTTCACATATTTTACTTTTAGCAACCAAGTAATGCCAAAGCCATGCACCCTTGCACTCCCACCTTGTGTTCTTGTGATCTGTGAATGTGTGTGTTTGCTGGGTAAAGAAGGGTGAGAAGATTGTATTGTACAGATGCTGACACATCACACCACTGCTGAGCACAATCAGGCCAGGGGCCAGACTCCCTCGGGGTAGGCGATGTTCTGCTACCAGTGGTGCTGTGTACTTGCTGTACACAGTCAGCAAGTAGGAACTAGCAAACAATACTAAAAGTATTTATTCATTCTTGATTTGTGAATTTGGTTTTGGATGAAGACACAGGAAGGAATTGCGTCATGTACTGGATCAGTTGTAGACTGAGGCAGAACAAAGCAGACTTTATGCTGAACTGATGTTGAAGAGATTTCATGAGTTTTTACAGACAAAATAACTATTACAAATGCAACCAAGAGTATCAGGAAGCACGGGTAGTTAAATATGGTAACAATGACAACCCAACAACACGAAAATACAAATACTAATTGATGCACAGCTGTAGCACTCGATTGTCAGGCCTCAGTGACAGCAGATTGTTGGTTGTAGATGTTTTTTTTTTTTCCTCTGCTCTCTTTTACAACCTCTCCTGCTCTCTGGCCTGCTTCCCTTTGCTCACAGCAGGCCACTGGATCTGTTGGAGGAATCAAAGACTCTGCTCACTGCATTATATAAGAGCACTGCTGCTCGTTATCAACATTTCTGAACCGTCTTTTGGGCCTTTAACTTCCATAAGATGTCTACTTTCATCTCGGGCTGAAGGCAAACTGTACCAACTAACCTCTCTTCTTCTTCTTTTTCTTCATTAGTAGTAGTAATGTTATTTTTAGCGGCATTACCAGAAGTAACAGAGTGCTGCAGGCATGAGTAGCAAGTAGCATTTAGCACCTCTGGTTCTCTCATCTCAAAGACAAAAAAGGGTTTTTGGGTAGATGTCTGAAAAAAGATCTGTGGTTAACACAAGGTGAACAGATTTTCACGTTTTGTTCTATGACATAAAATACATCAGTAAATACCCCAACATTTGAAGCTTTTAAGTGTCTTCAAGAGGGTGGTTGCTAACAAGTGTCTAAATGAGAATACAGAGGTCGTCAGTGACATTTAACATCAGATGTATCGAACGTGCAGACATATCTACTCACTAGTCCGCCTTTACAGCCTCATTGTGTTTATACTCATGCTCTTGCAAACTATTCTAACTCCAATTTTCCAACTTGTACATTTTAGTTACACAATTAAATTACAAGTGGGAAGTTTAGTGGTAGTGACGTTGAAGTCTTGCGATCATGGTGTAGTTTGTTTAGAGCCTAACGTTAAAAAAATAAAGTGGTGTTCATTTGTGAAGATCATTAACCTAAAGAGCTTATTTTCTGCAATAATCCAAAATCCAAATGTCGGAGGAAAACGTTGATGCTACCTTATGGGTTGGCCTACAAAAATCCCTGCAGCACTCTATAATGTGTAAAATTAAAAAACAAACAAAAAAAAAAACTATGTTGAAAAATACTGATGATAATTATTTAAAAAGAATGGACATTGACCTGTTGCTCTAATAGGCAGCACCTTGCATTTCAAGTTAACAGTTATGTCTCTACTTGTAATGTTAGCTAATGCGTGTGTGTTGTGGTAGTAGCAGTGGTAATAGCTGTAGTAATAATGGCACTGCAGAGTGAAATGACAAGAACCTTAGGGTGACATGTGAGCAACATGAGCTGTAGTCCCTGCACCTGTGTGCTAGTGGCAGAGTTAGCAACTGCTTGAGCCACTGAGATTTACAGTGAGAGTGTGTAGAAAGAATTCACAAACACACTGCATAGCATGCTCTGAATGTGATATAAGGTTGTTTCAGACTAGAAGCTTGAGTAGAACATGCTCTTTATTTAAAGGTCATGACACAATCAGTGATGTGTATTTGCTTTTTAAAAAGCTAATTCTATACTGAGCATCAAAAATTCCATTTGCCTCAACAATAGTATTTATCAGGCATTAAGTGTAGAAAGAAAAGCAACACGTGCTGTTCCTCTTCAGTAGTGTAGATACTGAAAAAAATAATTTGAATCAAATTTATGTAAAGAGAGGAAGCAAAGGAGCAGTGAGTCAGCCAGTAGAAACGCACAAGTGTATTAATGCATGAGTAATAATAAAGTAAATGAGTAATCCTGATACTACCCTGTGCTGACTGTTTCCCTGCAGGCAGGACATGTAAGATGACCCTAACAATCCGGCTGACCCCGACACTTTAAGCTGTTGGGCCGAGCGTCCCCCCAAGTTCCCAAAATGCAGAGGACAAGACTCTTTGACCCTGAAGCTTGAACCCAACAACTTCGAACTGCAGATCACTTGCAGGAGGTAGATTAGTAATTGAGAGGTATTTATAATATTGCCACAAGCTCAGTCTATTAATACAGTTATTTTATCACAGCAAAACATTTCCAACATGTCATTTATTTGATCGATTTCTTATGAATATATTTTCAAATAAATAATGGCATTTTTTCGACGATTAACAGAAGTGATTTAACTTCTGCACAGCTCTTGAATACTTTTATCCCAAATGTTCACTATGTCACAGGTCTTTCCTGAAAAAGTTCTCTGAAGACAAAAATATCACAAAATAAAAGGTGTAATTAAACCAGATAAATAAATGAATACATCTAAAGTATTTCCAAAAAAGTTCAAAAGGTTTTCAGTAAGACCGTGATGAAAGACCATACTTGAGCAAAGGCACACACAACAACTCTGTAAGGATCTTTCCGTCATTCTGTAAACTCAAGCAGGATTATGCAACTTGTCCCTTTAACAGCGTACTCGTCTGACAGCGGTGACATCAACAGATGGCCCGCCTGAACTCATTCAATGAAAGCTGACACACATGCTCGCTACACATGCACATACATGCTAAATTCACCAACAGGCATTCTCACTGGGACTAGTTATGTCCTCTATATCCTGCCACTCAGTGACAACCATGTGACAGCTGTTTCTAGAGACAGCTTGACCATGATTTAATGATACTCGGAGAATGGTCCTTTAGACCTTAAACCCCTAACTAGGGATGAGCAAATATATTATTGTCTGTATCTGTTCAGCCCACTAAATTCCCCACTTCATAGCCTGACTCCATAGGGCGGGGTGTAAATTGGATGTGGGCGGTGCTTAAACCATCAGTGGGTGGGACTGGGAAGTTTAGCCTGAAATTGAAGTTGTGAAATGTATATGGGTTGATCAGAGGCTGCTGTATTTACTAGAAAATGATTCACAGAACAGCCTCAGCTTCAGAGCAATGTTTTACAATAGTACAATAGTACTTACAATAGTAAGAGTAAGTAAGTATTTACTGAACAAGTTAGTTTAGATATTGACACATTTCTCCTGTTTTGACAAATCTAGGTTGCCTGGTCGTTTCAAGGCTTGGATCTACCAGCATGCCATTGTTCCCAGGGTTCTGTGGCCGCTGCTCCTGTATGATGTCCCAATGTCAACTGTGGAAGTCCTGGAGAAGAAGATCAGCAGTTACTTGCGAAGGTGGCTCGGCTTGCCGAGGAGCCTAAGCAGTGCTGCCCTGTACGGGTCCACCAACGCCCTACAGCTCCCCTTCAGCGGCCTCTCAGAAGAGTTTGTGGTGACACGGACAAGAGAGGTCATGCAGTACAGGGACTCCAGGGACCCCAAGGTGGCAACAGCTGGCATTGAAGTCCGCACAGGCAGGAAGTGGAGTGATGCCAGAGAGCTACAGGCAGCGGCGGCGCGGCTAAGGCAGAAGGCCCTTGTTGGGACGGTGGCAAGAGGGCAATCAGGTCTGGGCTGCTTTCCAGGCGGCCAGGTGGACAGAGCTAAAGGGAAGGACCGACAACATCTCCTCCAGGAGGAAGTGCGCACATAGTTTGCAGAGGAAATCCTGTTGTTTGGTGTATGTCGACGGAACAGGGGCGGTAAAATGAATGAATGATTGAATGAATGAATGATTTATTACCAGAGGAGGAGAGGGCTGTGAACTAGCTTGTCTGTGCAACTTTATTGGCTTTAATGTTGTGTGAACAGTTTAGGGGAGGTTTTAGAATGAATGTCTATTTTACATGAAATGTCAAAATCCAGAGATGTTGGTGGTACACTGATGAGTGAATGGAATGACTGTTTCATTATAATGCTTTTATAATTGGCTACTTAATTATTAAAGCTTGAAAGAAACATCAGGAAAGTTTGTTTAGTATTGATGATGCTACTCTGGTCTCTGGTTCCTTCCCTTCTTGCACCTTTCAAATACATTTGTAAGTAATTGGTGTCTTGTAAGCCTGTTTGGGCTGGGCACATCATTTGTGTATGGCATAATAATAAAAATGAAAAAAAAGTGTGGATGGATAATGTAATGTTTGCTTTCTTTTTCTCTTCATCAGTTCTAAATGTTGTCTGTGATATAATGCAGTTATTTTGTTTGTAGTCCCAGAAGGCCAAGGGGTTCCTCAACATTGCCAAGGATGGTGGAGTGCTCAGGTTTTGCTGTCTTCTCCATGACATCTATCAACTGAGCAACCTCTCCAAGTCACTGCAGAGGTCAGTGTCAACCCTGGCCTCCACTCAGGCTGTCATAGAAAAGTACAAGTCAAGGTATGTATAATATATCCAACAATTTATGATTTGATTTTAGGTTGTGTTGGTGTGTTTTCACCTCAGTATAAATAAATAAATAAATAAATAAATAAATAAATAAGACATCCATCCATCTATCTGCACAACTGTAGACCTGGGCCTAAGCTGAGAGCAGTGCTCGACACAGACACCTTTGAGGGAGTCCTCCTGAAGCCTACTGATGCTGACCAGCATGACGAGGCAAAGAACGAGCTCATTGACTCTCTGTGCCGGTGCATCACTGCTAGATTTAGTGATGTGAACAGTGGTGTCCTGCAGGCTATGCGGCTGACCAGTTTCCAGTGCTGGCCAGAAGCAGACATGAGTTCAGGTTAGCAATTCAAATGGAATGGACAAATCTTTACGCATTTTATGTTTTAAGGCAACTGCTTAACTTTATATGAATGTTTTCCCCTTTATTCTCAGATTTTGGAGATGGAGAGATAAACAAACTCATCAGTCACTTACAGCCTCTTCTGCTGTCTGCTGGAGTGGATGTGGAGTTGATCCCTGATCAATGGACAATTCTCAAGACTGAACTGTACACAGCAGGATTCAGCCAAGGTACTTGGAGAATTTTGTTTGAGAAAAAAATATCATATTGATGTACCTTAACAGTAGCATTTTTTTAGCAAGTGCTTGAAAAGCTCTATAGAAATGTCTGATATTGTGAGACAGTTTTATCTTATCAGCAATCAGAGTGAATGCCATTTGTTAAAGGCACAATCCAAATATGATGCTATCTTTTAATAACTAAAGTTGCATTTGAAAATAATTGTTTGTATGTGCATAATGCTGTCTGACCCTGCTACAGGAACCTTTGAGAAGACCTGGCCTACTGTGAACAGAATGCTCCGCCATCGGTGTCCTGACGTCCTTGATCTCTTTGATGCTCTCCTCACCATCCCTGCAACTACAGCTGAGCGCCTGAAAGGTGAGACCCTCTCTGACCTCCTGAAAACCCAGTTGTGCTCACCTGACATCAAACTTCGATCCAACCAAAGCCATTGACATCTGGCATTCTGACAGTTTGCGCTCACGCAGGCCTGAGTTTGTGCGCAAACATGGAACAAAAGGAACTGAGGATGGCTCAGATTCAGATGAACAAATGAGGTCAGAGAGTGCTGAAGAAATTTGATGTGGTAGAGCTCGGAAATTATCAAGATGAAAAATAAATGATTTTTTTGTTGTATGCATGTACTGTATGTGTATGTATTGTACTTGGATTGTGTTGATAAAAACCAAAATGTAAAACTAATTAATTCAGCGGCTCTCATCTCTCTTATCTAATCTCTCTTATTTTCACTGGAAAAAATTTGGCTAGTGGAAATTTTAGAAAATTACCAGCCAAATTGGCTGGTAATCAAAAAAGTTAATTTAGAACCCTGGTTGTATTGCCATCATGTGCCGTCTTTGTCATGTTTTCAGTTCATAATACTAAAAGGTTTTTATACCATACTTAATGTATGTTCTGGATTTCAGATTCTGATGGTCCATTCATTAAAGTTTGGTTGCAACTGTGGATGAAGTGTAAATTGTTGGAGGTTGAAATGCTGAAAAAGGACCCTGATCACCAGCTGGTAGAAGACCTGATGGTTGCTACATTTTCTCAGCGCAGAGATGAACCATTCATCACAGAAATAATTTCCAGATGGCCAGCTCTGTTCCATGACAGACAGGTAGTCAGTCACAATTCCTCATCACAAAACATTCCACAAAGAGACAGAAAGCATGTGGTCAGATACTGTACTGTATCCTATTCAGAAATCAGTTTGACTAATATTTTTTTTTCTGTCTGTGTCTCTCCTCAGATCAGGGCAGAATTCAAGAGAATTGTCACCACAGACCTTCTGCAATCTTTTCTCGATGGACTTGATGGCCTGGTCCCAAGACTGCTGGAGGTATACAAAGCAGGAACTAAGTCTGGAAAGAAGCAGTCACTCAAAGAAATTTTGAACTGCCTTGAGAAAGATGTAAGTGGAGCTGATGACCATAAAATTAGGCACCATTTATTATGCTTGTTGTTTATTATGTTGGCTATAATATTTTCATCTTACTGCATGTTCCTTTGTCTTGTAGGACACAAATGAGAGGAGAAGGACTGCTGCTTGGCTTGGACTGCCACACTACATATCAGGCGAAGATCCTTCAGACGTCATCAGGATGTGTGATGTAAGACTATAACTATCTCTAATGCAATTATTGTAATTCTTTGTTGTTGTTTTTTAATAGTCTGGCTGCATTATTGGAAGTTGCATCATATGTCAAGTTTGGTTGTTTTTGATTTTTCTTTCTTGTTGAATCTCACTTTCTTCAGGAGAACAATATACAGTCAAACACATTAAGGGGTTGAAATCTTCAGAATAGATCAATATTTGGTGTTTATGATCAGGACTGATGTTGGTTCAGCCTATGTACTTGTCCCACAATTATTTCTGCTTTTTAAGGCTCATGTTGAGACTCTGGATGAAGCCATGAAGGGGATGCACCTTGGCCTCCTGATTGGATTAAGAAACTAAATCCTGAGGTACAAACTGTAACATGTCTACTTTTTCTACTTTAGGATATGGAAAGAGTTCCTGTCAAGAATGTTGCTGATGAGACTTACGTGATGTGGTGGTACGCTGTCCGAGCTCCGCGCCTTTTCGGTATAACCTTTTCACAAAATACCCTTTTTCGATACACAGTGCTTTATCTCGAAAGTTACTTTGCTTTACAACGAAATTCGAGTCAGAATGAGCAAAGCAGGAAAACCGGGAGGTAGAACCGATAAGCAACAGGGTGCTAAAGTTGGTAGCAACATGGCAGGTGACCGAGAGGCACCACTAACGACGGAGACGGGAGTTCAAGAGCTTGAAAAGCTGAGGAGGAGTATGACCGGCGAACTCACAGCTTTACTAAATCTGTCAAATCGTTTCAGATAAGTTTGGCGGCACAACAACTACTATCAGGGAGATGGAGACTAGCCTGTCCAACCACAGCAACAGGATTACGTAATTGGAGCTTGACGTGGGCGGGCTCCAGTCTGACCTGGGATCGGTGGTGAAGGAGAATATGGAGCTTAAAGCCAAAGTGGAGGACTTGGAGTCCAGTTCAAAGTGCCAAAAAGTCAGAGTGCTGGGACTCCCGAAGAATATGGAGGGAAAAGATGCTAGGGTCTTTATGGCCAAGTTGTTCGCTGACCTGCTGGGGGACCTGCTCTCTGGGGCGCCTGAGTTGGACCGCGCTCACCGCAGCCTGCAGACGAAGCCTCGCCCGGATGAACCTCCATGACCTGTTATTGTCAGGTTTCATCGCAGTCTTATCTGTCTTGTGTATCATAAATGACAAATGCCTCTGTAATGCCAGGGGGAAGAGCCGGACATCAAATTAACATTATTACTTGGAATGTGCGGGGCTTGGCGGGGCAGATTAAGCGTTCCAGGGTTTTCTCACACCTAAAGCATCTCTCCACTGATATTGCTTTTTTGCAAGAGACACACCTGCTTACAGTTGACCATATTAGGCTCCATAAACCATGGGTTGGACAAATATGTCATTCCAATTTCAACAGTAAATCCGGAGGAACAGCAATTTTAATATATAAGCGAATTAAGTTTATCCCAATTCACATAATATTCTGATCCTGGTGGTCGCTTCATTATAGTTTCTGGTACTCTTCATCAAACACCAGTTGTATTAGTCAGTGTGTATGCACCGAATTGGGATAGCCCAAATTTTATGTCCACGATGTTTTCCCATCTACCAAATTTACACTCATCACCTCATATTAGGAAGAGTTCTAAACTGTGTTGTTAATCCAAGCCTTGACCGTTCACAGTCCAGATCGACCACACCAACAGTAATGTCTAAAACTTTATCAACACTTATGGATCAGGTGGGTTGTGTTGACCCTTGGCGTTTCTTTCACCCTAATGTTTAAGACTTTTCTTATTTCTCTACTGTCCATCAAGTCTACTTCCGCATAGATTTTTTCGTTTTTGATAAGGCCCTTCTACCTTACGTCAGATCTACAGATTACACTGCCATAGTAACTTCCGATCATGCTCCTCACATACTTGAGTTATGTCTCCCCTCGGATTTGCATAGACATCAAGGAGGCTGGAAGTTGAACACAGGCTTGCTGGCTAATGCAGAGTTCTGTGACTATATATCTTCAGATATAGATTGACAGATCTGATCTCATTTCCCCATCGCTTCTATGGGAAACATTAAAAACTGTCATCCGTGGGCGTATCATCTCTTTCAGTGCGCATTTGGCCAAAACCAGAAGAGTGAGACCGCAACAACTTAGGGACGCTATCTTAGACATAGATAGGCAACATGCCTCTTCACCAAATCCTGCTTTAGCAGCTAAACATCTGCAACTGCAAGCTAAATTTGACCTGTTAAATCCCCTTCTGTCCTTACCCCTATTTGCAATAACCATCTCTTTCTACCTTCTTCACTAGACCCAGCTTTTAAAAACTGGAAGAAGAGAGGCCTGGTTTCTTTTTTCTTTGACATTTGGTAGTTTGGAGAACCTTGTCACTAAATTTGATCTACCCAATTGTGGTCGATTTAGATATTTCCAGCTTCGTAATTTTGTAAGAACTCACTTCACGTCCTTCCCTAAACTACCTGAGAAGACTCTTCTAGAAAATATAATGTCTCCCTCAGCATCACAAAACGGCATTGGATCAATTTACATTCTTCTTCTCTCTTCGCAAGCATCTTCTCTTTTATGGCTAAAAGACACATGGGAAAAAGAGCTTGGGCTGGGTCTTGACGAGGATTGGTGGAGAGGGTCACTGCTCAGGATCAGCTCGACTAGCTCTTGTGCTCGCATTAGCCTTATTCAGTTTAAAGTGGTTCACAGGATCCACTATACTAAAGCTTGTGTATATGTTATGGTTCATTTTTATTATTATTATCATTATTGTTATTGTTTTTATTATTATAATTAAATATTCTTTTTCTCCTTTTATCTACCTCATGAAAGTGCACATTGTACCCTCTAAGACTAGGGTGGGTGGTAGATGGGTGGAGGGTGAACACAGGGAGTTGGCTGCATTGTATTTTGCCTGTATGTTCTTTCATAGTCTACTTAAAAAAAGAAAATATGAAAATGTCAGACTTCTCACTTACAGTTAATCTGTATCCTGTTTGTAACATGCTTTGAAGTTTGTTCAATAAACATATATATATATATATATATATATATATAAGAAAGAAGAATGTTGCTTTTTTTAATATACTGTACTGTACTTTGATGTTTTGTTTTGTTTTGATTAGGGTTGATGGTCTTAATACAGACTGGTGATGTTGTTTTAAGGTGAAATGCAAAGTTCCTAGCTTCAGAAAGTTCTATCTTTTCAATGGACTCTGTAATGGACACTACGTTTCCTCCTTTCTTTAGTCATTTGGGTTGCAGAATCAGAATTTAACTGCTCGTTCTTGTCTTTAACATAGTTTTAGAATGTTAAATGCACTTAAATTATATTTTGTTTAATTTGCTGTTGAGGCTGTAAATTGAGATAATTGTGCAAATAAATATTTTTTGAACAGATGAGTTCTAAGTTGAAGTGAAGTTTTGGTTTATTACATTTCTAATTTTTAAAAAGGGTTAGGTTGAGTGAGTACTCAACCCTCGAGTATACGGTAAAGATGTACTTTTTACGCATACAATTATCAAACAAGTAAAATGGGTCAATATCTAAACTAACTTGTTCAGTAAATACTTAGACTGTAAAAAATTATCAAGGTGGTTTAACTTAGAAACCTAAGTGGAATTGCTGCCTTAAAAACATGAGTAGAAACAACTTTAAAATGTAATTGGTATGAATATAGTTTGTTATCTTGACTTGAAAATGTGAGTTGACATAGTATGGAATTGTAAGTTTTCTTCAATAGACAACGTAATATAGTTCGTTGTTTAAACTAGTATCAAGTTTAAGTAATAAATGATCATTAATTAAACAACTTGTCTTAATTTGCTTTATGAGTTGAAATAAAACTTGAAGTTGAGTTCACTCACAATTTTAAGGCAGCAATTCAACTTTTGTTGTTAAGTTAAACCACCTTGATCATTTTTAAATACTTGTTCAGTAAATACTTAGTATTTAAGTATTTATTTTACCAGAGTTATTACCAGCGGCTCTGACAATGTAAGTTAACTTAACGTTTACAAGGCGTCGCGGACGAGAGCCCCGCAAGCCTTGTACCTAACATATTTTCAGTAAAACTCATAAAAAAGACTCATAGAGGGACAGACTTTCAGAGAGCAGGGCAGGTAGTTCACGTAGGGACAGCAGGGGAGACGGGCTCACCTGAGGAAGGGACAGCAGGTGAGTTTAACAGCAGAGAAAGAGGCAGTAGGTCAGAGTAGCTTCATATAAATATGTTGCTGAGATGTGTGCCAAACATTTAACCCATTGTACCTACATGATAAACTGCATACTCTTCTTAACTAAAAGAGCAGTGTGCTCAAAATATTTTCATTCATTTGGCTAATTGTAGTTACCTTCATTTTCAGGTCAAATCAGACCTTCATAACAGGCTGCAAGGAGAGCACCTGGCTGCCTGCCTGAGGGTCTCCATCAATGGGCCGAGTCCAGAGGAATTTAACTACCAAAGTGCATTAGAACTGTTTTTTTCAAAGCCCAGGAAAATTAAATGTCCAAATTTGGGGTGCAAAGTTTGCAAGTACTGAGAGTTGTAGAAATGTGTATTTTGGATGTTTTCTTTCCACTAGTCTGAAAGAAGACATGTTATGGAAGCAAAATAACCCAAAATGTTTTTGCCTGCCATGTCTCCCCTTAAGGCTGCAACTAACAACGAATTGATTATGTGCCCTCCTAATCCAATTTATTTTTTTATTACAATTTAGCTTACAGTTTAATTATTTATTATTTGCTAAAAAATAAACTAGTTCAACACAGGTAACCACTTTTGCTTAATTTCTTTGATGGCTCAGATGTATGCTCTAGTTGATTTTGTGTTCTCACCATTCGTATCTATATAACCAATGTGTTTATAATTAAATTGTTTACAAGAGCACACAGTTCTTCATGGATCTAGCCTCTTAATTTTGCTTTCAAAGTGCACCAGATTGAACTTAAAAATGTAAAAAAAAATCTTCCTGGGGGAGCATGCCCCCTGACCCCCCTAGAGGGTCCGACATCCACCCACCATAGTCTCACAAAATCCTGTGGGAAACACTGTTACCATTAATGTCACATTAATAGTGTTGTTTTTGGCAGCCTGTTTTAATTTTAGTTTTAGTCTAGTCTTTGTGTCAAACTGTCATTTTAGTTTTTATTAGTTTTAGTCACGTTTATACTCTTTTTAGTCTAGTCAAGTTTCAGTCGACTAAAAGTCTGAGCATTTTAGTCTTATTTTAGTCAGAATTATCCATGACTATTTTCGTATAGTTTTAGTCGACGAAAACTGATGACATTTTAGTCTAGTTTTAGTCAACAAAAAATGTATTTTAGTCTCTTTTTAGTAATGCAATTCTATTTAACCCAGTTAATATAGTACAAGTACCTAGTATAGTATAGACAAAACCAAAATTTTCTTTAAGTCACCCATTTCACAAGTCAAACAAGGTTATCTTATTATTATATTATTGTTACCTTATAGACTCAAGAATACATTCAATTCCAGACACGGAGGACACTCTGATTTTAATTTACAACATATGTATTTTACATGTAACATGTAAGAAGTACACACACATAAATTTAAATTAGATAAATAAAATAGCTTCCAATGACAATGCCAGACAGAATTGACATTACATTCAAGTTTAACTTAAAGAGAAACAAGGTGCTTGAATGCTCGAGCTACAATAACATAATAAAAAAGTGCAAATAAAATGTGTTTGTCTGTGACTAACGTTAACGCACCGCAGCTGCATCAAATAATGCCGCGAGTGGGGATTGAGGAAGTGACGCCACCTGCGTCTGTGCACTCAGGAAACAGAAATATTTCAAAATGATAATAATAGCGAGACGAAATACCGTTATAACATTTCGCCTCGTCACGTTTTGGTCAACGAAAATGAAGAGATATTTTAGCAGAGTTTTTATTTTGAAAACCACATTTAGTCCCGTTTTTATTAGTCAACAATATTGCATTATATATTTGATTATAGTTTTCGTCACATGACCACCGTTTAAGTTGTGTCTCGTCTCATTTCCGTCACGTGATAAAGGTTTGTTGACGACGATATTTAGTCATAATTTCCGTTGACGAAAGCAACACTACACATTAACATACACACTGCACTTCTTCCACGTGTACCCCATCTTCTTTCTCATTTTGTAAAAGGCTCTGAAAATGTAAAAAGCCTTCTTCTAAATGTCTGACAGGGTATGAAGCACAACTTTAATTTGTGACAATTACAGTACTTACACAAGACAGGCTCAAGCCAGACATAGAAGGGGCATAGAGAATCCGGTCGATTTTCAAAATAAAATACCCTGTGCAAACTGCCGGTCGTAAAAACAATTAACTAAACTAAACTAAAATTAACCACGTAGCACAATTACATGTTTAGGGGCATATTTAAAGCACCAAAAACATAGAAAACAACCAATTCTGAGCAAATAAACAAAGTCTTGCGGGCCAAATGCGGAGCTTCTGAAACACTGCCGGTGGAGGTTGATGTCACGTGCAGGACAGACCGAAACAGCGTTTGTTAAGAGTTCTCTCAACAAATTTAGCCAGCGCAAATGTGATGTAAACATGCCAGTCTGAGCTGACATAATTTAAATCTCTAATGAGATCAACAATTACTAGTTACCATTTTTACAGTGTACCAATTCAGGTCGATTCAGTTATTTTCTTGCAATTTTGATATTTCTGTTTATTTTTAAAGAGTTCCAGATTCTTGCTGGAAAATGATCCATGTTTCGCTAGTGTTTTCAAGCATATATGCTTTAGCAAACAGGCAAGTCCAACACTTAAATTAAAAAGTACTTTTTGCTCTACTTCTGCCAGGTTTTTCTTTAAGTCCACCCAGTTAGGGTGATGTCGGCTTTCTCTTTCTCAAACAGTCATCGATACTTGTTGATTTTGAATAGCCTTGCAAGCACTACCTGACAATCGAGCTAAAGTGTCGGGTACACATACAGTAAAAGTCCCATAATTAATCAGTGTGTGGAAAACCCAAAAGTCTGTCTCTGGGTACCGATATTACACAAATACCAAAGTTTGATTGCCACATTTTGGGACAATTAGGTTTTTATTTATCAGGCTTTGTATCCCTGTTGGTTAGGATAATCCACAGACCTTGCTGACTATGTGCAACATATGAAATGCCACTTGAGAGAGGTAATGTGTTTCCCCTCCTTAAGAGAGACAAGTCCTACATTTACACAGGTTCTTAAAACATTTGACTGTAGAACTACTAAATACAACTATATATGCAATAATTATTTTTTATGTAATTTTTTTTTATTTATGTTTTTGGATTGGTGGGAAACTTCTGGATTCCTGGAAACCCCCCGCGCGTCTCAGATTGAAAATTGTCTTTTGTCTTTTAGTCAGTAGGTGCCTCTGTTGAATATGATGTTTTGTGGAGCTAGGCACAGAGACATGTCGCTAAATGTTGATGTTGATGATGTTGAAGTGTCATTTTTTTTTTATTACGTTTTTGAATTGGTGGGAAACCGGAGCATCCCCGGAGGAAACCACCACACACGTCTCAGATTGAAAATTGTCTTTTGGGTAACACTTTATGATGAGTACACACTATCAAGCATTAGTTAAGCATGAAAAAATAATGAATTAATCATTTATTATGCATGAATACACAGTATGTAGTTTATAAACACAGTTAAAAATGTTTTATTCATCATTGATAAGCACATTAGTTATGGAATAGTAAATACTGAATTCATCATTTATAAAGCATGTTTCTGCTGTAAATAGTCATTACTATGTGGTTTGTAATCACATTTATAAATGTTTTACTCTTCATTGTACTGTACATTTTCTGCATGCACTTGCACATCCACTATTCAGACATGTATTAATGATTGGTGACTGTGTTAGCAGATGTTCTATAAAAATTCACAACAAATTCATTTTCTAATGATGGCCTATAAACAGTTATTAATGCAGGAATTCATGAATTAAGGCAGTTACAAAGCACTTACTACTCGTTAATTAAGTATTTTGCACAAGCTCATCTAAAGTGAGCACTATCTGTGGCTTATTAAGCATTTACAAATGAGATATAAAGGCTGACAATGCCTCAAGACTCACAAAATGTTCAGTTATCTTAACAGACGAAGGAGAGACACAACATAAAGGGATATAGAACATATCGTATTGATATTTACTGCAACTTCCCAACATATTGTATGAAGACAAACAAGGGTGGTTTATGAAGACATGCTATTGTTGTGATCTTATCTGTTTGGGACGTGTACGTTGAGCTTGCAATCCCGCTCTCAGCACGTCATCAACGTGATGACTGTGGGAGGCGGGATGTTACGTCATATTTACGTTAACTCTCAGAAGTTTCTGACAAGGGGAGCATGGAGAAGCACATTGGAGTCGGTGGCCGTCAGCGGCACTAGTGGTGAGTATGTGTCTTTGTTTGGTAGCACACATCATGGTTGAAAGCTAACGTTAGCTTGTCAGCAGCTGCAGGTGTTTGCCGCTGCTAGGCACTCACCTCGCCCGGCTAGACAAGACTGGACTAGGTCGGCTTAGCCACCGCGGGCGGGTCGGTAACGTGAGTCGGGGAGCGAGAGCAAACACCTGCAGCTGCTGACAAGCTAATGTTAGCTTTCAACCATAATGTGTGCTACCAAACAAAGACACATACTCACCACTAGTGCCGCTGACGGCCGCCGAGCCGACTCCAATGTGCTTCTCCATGCTCCCCTTGGCTGCACTGTCAGAAACTTCTGAGAGTTAACGTAAATATGACGTAACATCCCGCCTTCCACCGTCAT